ACGCGCCAGCGCGGTGATTTGGGGGTGGATGAAGCCCAGCACCCCATCTGCCAGAGGCAGAGTGCTGCTTGGAGAGAAGTTTGTGATGGTGTCCTGCAGAAGATCTTCCATTTGGGCTGTGGCCTGCAAGGCAGAATGGATGGTGATGCCCAAGAACACGTGCCCCTATACCACACGTTGGGTTTGCCCAGCCAGGATCTCATGCTACCATCTCCAGCAGCTCCAATATCCACATGCACGTCATGGCCCCAACTGGGACCCAGCTTCCAGCAAACTGGGAAAACTCCACCAAGGTCTCCAGAGACCTCTGCCTGCATGTGTGATGAGGCAGACTCGCAGGTCCCTGCCTCCCCAGTTCATCACCATGTCTTCAGTGTCCTCAACACCCCCTGGTATCTACCCATGGATTCTATATTCCAGCACAGAGAACAGGTTGTTCTGGAGATGGTGTTGTCAGGGTGCCGTGGAGGCACTAACGTGCTCGCCCTCCCCAGTCCTGGCAGTTACCTTGGGGAACCGCTCCTTGTAGACATGGTTCATCATCACAACCTCGTTATCAAACGTTCCACTCGTCCGTCCAGGGCTGTGGAGGGAGGAAGCCAGTTGCGCTACGAGGTCCGAGTCATTTACATCTACGCAAACAGCTACTACCTCGTGAGAGCAATTTGTTCCCTCCTCCTAACTCCCGATCCCAAGTGACTAAAGCTCATCTGAGTGGAGTCGTCAGCCTTGGGCCAGCACTTCCAGCAGCATCCTTCCCACCATGCATGGATCTGGAGATCCCTGGGACCTGGTCCAGGAAAGCTTAACGTCCCGCAGACCCAGGTCTCCAAACTCAAGATACTTGAAAATTCAGAGCCGAGAGGCTGGTGCATCAGTCATTGGCTTTGAAGAGCGAGTTCACGCTTTCCTTCCTCTGGATCCCACAATTTCTCACCATCGTCGCCCTTTTTGCGGCTCACCAGCAAAACCAAAGCCCGTGGTGAACGCAGGGACCTTCATTAACAGGGCTTCTCTCTTACCCTCACCCAACAGTGCCTCTCTCAGGGCCCTGCCTGGTGATCCCGTTATGCAAAGCGAGTCGCAGGAGCGGCCAGCCACTCACTATATATAAAAAATGTGGCGACGGAACCCAGCCGCGGGCCGCTCGCTGCCAGCCCCAGCTCAGCCTTTGCCGTGCCGACCGCAGAGCTGGCATCTCCTTGGTGAACATCTCGCCACCTACAAAACCCTTTCAGATAATTAATCTGAATTTAATGAAATTTCAGCTGGCAACATGCAGAGCTACGCCTCTGCCTCCGGTGCAGAGACGGTTGGGACTTTTTCATTGGGAAAAGAGGATTTAACTGAAACATCCCCTGTAGAAGGCATAAGAAATGAGACTTTTAACCTTTAAATGGCAGGTCAGGCCGGTGGCCTCCCAGCCATGCCCTGTAGGGACAAACACCACTTGGTTGGCCACCTCTGCTCGGCGGCCCCCTTCTCTCCACTGAAACCTTTGAGATAATTGAGCAAGAAGCTGCAAACAAACTGTGTTGGAACAAATCCCACTTTCTCCAGCTTCAGCCCCAGGAAACCTCGCTCTCAGGTGTCATCTGCTGCCAGGAGAGCAACGCCACATCCCAACAGCCGAGAAGATGCTGAGAACCAGACTCCAACGCCTAAAATCACAGATCTTCAGATCATAGACTCATAGATTTGGGTTCGAAGGGACCTTGAAAGATCATCTGGTCCAACCCTCCTGCAGTGAGCAGGGACATCTTCAACCAGATTAGGTCACTCAGAGCCCCATCCAACCTGACCTTGAGTATTTCCAGGGATGGGGCATCTCCCACCTCAAGCCATAGCTTCTCCACTCCCCAGCAAGCGGAAAACACATACAGGGGTCAACACCTTGGGACAAGCTTAGCAGGACCAGGACATCCCAGGAACAGCTCACGGGAGGGCAGAGGATGCGCTGGATGCACCCGGTGCATTGTCCCGGCAGCGCTGTGGGTGCTCCCCATGGTGGGTGCCGTACCTGAGGCTCCTGGATCGTGGGCGCAGGCAGGGCGAGTGCCGGCCTTCCTCGTCCGTGACGCTCTCCGTACTGCGGAAATGCTTAGAAAGGAAGTGCAGCTCGTCGGGAGTGGGCTGGGAAGGCAGCTGGTGCAGGCGCTCCTGGGAGGACGAAGACGACTGGAAAGAAGGACAGACATGGGGGGATCAGGAGATGCAGCCGTGCTTCCTGGCAGCGGGGCAGAAACCAGGAAGCCCATGAGGAAAATATTCCTCGGAGCCTCTTAGGAGACTGGAAACGCTGACGCAGCACGCTCTGCGCTCGGTAATGTGAAATACGGACAACTCGGGGAGGTCTGCGCCGCCCACTCCCACCCGTGACATGCAGGGATGCCGTAACCCCCAGGGACGGGACGCCGTGACCCCCAGGGACGGGACGCCGTGACCCCCAGGGACGGGACACCGTGACCCCCAGGGACGGGACACCGTGACCCCCAGGGACGCGATGCTTAAACCCCAGGGATGCTGTCAGCCACTCGCCAGGCTCTGTGGCTTTCTTAAAAGCACATTTGAAAAGTACAACACAGCCAAAGCACACGGTCCTGTATGAACAGGCTGCTTAGGAAGCGATGCCGCGGGGCTCGGGAGGCATTTCGCCAAAAATCAAGGGGTTTGGGTTCTTCTCGCCTGCTGCCATAAGAAAGCAAACGTTACCGAGACAGTGGAGCTGGGGGTGTTGGTCCCATAGCCAGAGGAGGGTAGCGAAGCCAGTGACCACCTTCTGCCATCAGCCCTGCAAGTGCAAACGTGCTGATCACATACAGGGAAAAAAACCCCACATCTAAATGCAAATAAATAACGTCAGAGCGATAAGGATGGGGAAGAGGACGCAGGTTTGGCTTGAGTAATAAATCCCTGAATCCTCCTTTCAGAATGGACTGAAAATGAGTGAAATAAGAGGGGGTTTGTAGGTGAGAGGGGCTGTTCTGCAACCCCGGCGTGCAGGGGACAGTGACAGCAAGCAGGGTCCCCGGAGAGGGACAGCACTGGGGCTTGGCTGGGTGACGAATCTGTTTCATGTGAAAAAAACCCCAAAACCCTGCGAGAATCTGATTTTTAATTAGAGGAAAATTCAGCCTTCTGGGAGTTCGCTCTGTGAGAAACGGGGATTCCTCTCGGCTCGTCCAGAGACGACAGGCGCCGCGGAGCAGAGCCCGGTGTAAACAGGAAGGCAGACGCTCGTACGCAGGCGAATGCGTCCTCTTGGAGATCTTTCTAATGGACGGGGCAGCGTCCAGGTCAAGATGGGGCCCTTCACCTCCCAGTGCCGTTTCCCGTGCGGGGCCAAGGACGGCAGGAGCTGGCAGGGGGCCGGGGCCCCCACCCGGCCCCCCCCTTGTCC